AGGCAGTTTTGTCCTCTCTTCCGCCATGCTGCCGTCGTGTATATGCAGAGGGAACCTATATAATATCATAATTAAATAAAGAATAGTTATTCATAACTGTTTCACTACCCATAGAAACGGCATGTGGTATTTTTCGCATAAATCAGACACGTAAGAACTAGGACTATGTGTAAAGACAATGTAGCGGGTATCAATCTCCGTGAATCCTATTCAAAATCGTAAATTATATGTACGCCCACACATACACAAGCACGTGCACACGCGCGCACACACGTTGTGGGTGCGTGCGTGTGTGTGTGTGCGCGCGCGACCGCCCTCGTGTGGCAATGTCATTTGTCGTTTTGGAATCAAACATGGTACCAAGAGCTAATAATAGCTATTATTAGCTCTTGATAGTACTATAAATACAAATATATATATTAAAGGTATCTTACCCGATCGGATGTTTCCTGTGATGGTTTAAAAATATGAATTGCGAGGCTCAATTAATTACAGGCCTATTTTCTTTACCAAATGACGTCAAGTAGGGTGTGATTTATCAGAACGATCCGCAAATAAATAAATTGACCCAAGTGTGTCTAAAATTACCACACTACAGCGGGCATGTACTAGCGATTAGCAATAGTAGATACTGCCAACATGCACTGGTTCTTTAGCACGCAAGACACATGTGTTAGCTTTTTGTGATTGTCGATATATACATAGTCGAATGTTATAGTTTTGTTATACAGTACTTTAAAACTGGTTTCTGCATGGGCAGGATATCCTGTGCTTATAGAACCGTAACCAATGCCTAGATTTAACCCAGTGCAGTGTGTGTGTGTGTGTGTGTGTGTGTGTGTGTGTGTGTGTGTGTGTGTGTGTGTGTGTGTGTGTGTGTGTGTGTGTGTGTGTGTGTGTGTGTGTGTNCTTGGTTGAAAGGAAAATAACCCCAAAATGTATCTATCTATCTATCTATTTATGTATCTATCCATCCATCCATCCATCAATCCATCCATCCATCCCATCCTATCCCATCCCATCCCATCCTCTTCTATCCCATCCCATCCCATGCCATCCTATGCCATCCCATTGGATCCAATCCGATCCCATCGCATCCGACCCCATCCCATCCCATCACATCCAATCCCAAACAATAAAAAATAATATAAAGAAAAAAAGACATGAAAATAATAATAAATAATNTATATATATATATATATATAGAGAGAGAGAGAGAGAGAGTGAGGCACTCGCCACTAAACTGTAATTAATCATGATGGCGTATAGTTGAAGAAATATAATTGTCAATTCATCAAACAGCAATTTAAACAGAAAAACCTAGGCGAAATTTGAAATTTCACAGAGAAAAATGCTAGTTAACGTGATCGTCATAGGAAGATATACAACAATAACATTTTTGATTAAATAACTTCATCGGATCTCTATAATTTACATGCTAATAACGTTAATCTTAGTTAGATCCATAATCAGTACAAAATAACTTACTCTGACGAAATTTTCGTCCATCTCTCCGACAGACTTCCGCAGGTCTAACGTTTCCAAGTTAGATGGCAGCACTGGAAACGGAAAAACGGAAAAACGTTTAAAAGAACATATATATGACTGATGTCAATACTCACATAAAAGGAACCAGCACACGAGCGGCTCGTGCGTCCACTTCAGGACAACAGCATAAGTCAGCCATAACAGACCATATGGTCGATCAAAACCATCTACCGGACTGGAAAGAGGCCACTGTAGTGTCAAAGTGTCATTCTCAGATCTTCACCCACTCCAGGGGACCGCGGGCTGGAGGCCACCCGAAAATGACCAGGATCGAACTTCCGTTTCCAGTGCTGCCATCTACCTGGAAACGTTAGACCTGAGGAAGTCTGTCGGAGAGATGGACGAAAATTTCGTCAGAGTAAGTTATTTTGTACTGATTATGGATCTAACTAAGATTAACGTTATTAGCAAATAACATTATTGTAAAATCATTTTATGGGTCTGTTTCGTTGAATCTACCTAATTCTACATTAAAGTAAAATCTTGCGTTGACAGCCGCACAGGCTGCGTACAACGATACAGGAGCTAGTCAGTTCGACAAACCGGTATACCTTCGGGCGTTTGAGTCGATTCTTGATATCGTCGCACAGATACCGCAAGGGAATGTGCGTTTTAAGGAATCTAGGCGATGGCATCTCGTCAATGTCTTCAACTTCAATCGTTTCTGGCTCGGCGAAGATATGACTTGAGTTAAGAACCTCGATCATTGGGCATAATTTGTCAATCGTCTTCCCATCACTAGAGATTTTGCTGATGTCACAGTCGTTTAAGATGTGTAGAACAATTGACTGCGTCCATGTGGTTCCTGCATCGGACGAGAGAGACGGAGTGAGAGAGATGACGGACAGGCATGACGATTTCACTTTGCTGTTATTTGGCCGGTATAATATCAATATCAATATTAATATATATCAAGAGCTAATAATACCTAGAGTGTACAACGGAAAAACGGGAAAAAGTGCTATTTCACGACATGATTATTCTA